CAAGAAGCTACTAGGGGCTCCTGGCCTTACTACTAGGAACAAGAAGCCACTAGGAACTTCTTGTGACTCGTTGTGCCAGCTGAGAAAGGAGCTCTGAGAGGCGAACTGAGCGAGACATCCAGTTCCTCTGGATCGCAGTAGGTCTCTCCCTCATGCAGGGGCGATCGTGCGAATAAATGCATCAAATTGGGGACGAATCAGAGGCTTCTTTCATGTTCAGGGTGGAGGCCATCGATTCTAGGTTGGGAAGCCATCGCTTCCAGGTTGGAGGTCATGGCTCTTAAGGTGGAGGCCATCGATTCTAGGTTGGGAAGCCATCGCTTCCAGGTTGGAGGTCATGGCTCTTAAGGTGGAGGCCATCGATTCTAGGTTGGGAAGCCATCGCTTCCAGGTTGGAGGTCATGGCTCTTAGGGTGGAGGCCATCGATTCTAGGTTGGGAAGCCATCGCTTCCAGGTTGGAGGTCATGGCTCTTAGGGTGGAGGCCATCGCTTCTAGGTTGGAGGCCGTTGCTAGGAGGTTGGAGACCATTGCTAGTAGGGCGGAAAGCCATCGCTTCTAGGTTGGAGGCCATCGCTTCAAAGGCTACTTCTTCCAAAGCAACCCGCCTTTGGCACCCACGGAGGCTGCAGCTCACGGCCCAAGAGCTTGTCGAACAAGGAGCCACCCGCGTGGCCGTGCAAGAAATACTCTGCACCACGCACATCCTCAACGGGTTGAGATGGGTTGAGAAAATGTCTCCAGGTGAACATACAAAACATGAACAGACTAAAGAAGATCACTACAGCACCGAGGAATACCTGACCATGATTTCCCCCGGCAGCCGGACACATGCCCCGACCTTTGCCGGTGCAGCTGAGATGCCTCCCATCCACCAAGCCCAGAACCCAAGCGTTTCCGGGGCTGTCGGGTCAGCAAACCTTTCATCAAGGTTTTGCCATTAGCCTGGGCCAATCTCACAAATGCCTCCATGTTTCAGGGCTGACATTCACTTCTAGGAAATGGAAATCAAGGATCTGAAGTGGTCAAGAAATAGCTCAAAAGGTTCAACCGTTCAACCCGTTCCCAGTGAAAGGGTTATCGACGCTTCTGCAGAAGGAAACATATTGCAACAAAGAATAGTAATGGCTAAGGAAAGAATCCATTGTTCCTCTTCATATGCGAGGACTTATTTTGACACCAGCTTTCCCTTGCAGCCAGGCAACGTCCTTGTAGCTCGACGGGAACTGTAGGGTGTCCTGGAACAAACATTAGATCGTTTCGCTTTGTTTTTTCAGAAAAAGAAGCTACTAGGAACAAGTGCCACGCTAGTAGTAACAGGTGCCTTACTAGTAGTAACAAGAAGCTATTAGGAACAAGTGATATGAAAAATCTTTCTTCGTCCTTTCAATCCGTGGGCACTTGTTCCTAATAGCTTCTTGTTACTACTAGTAAGGCACCTGTTACTACTAGCGTGGCACTTGTTCCTAGGAACGATCTGGTCCAGAACGGCCGAAATAGGCTGAGACGCAAGGCCGAGCCTTTCCCGCTTTTCCCGAAAGACTTGATCGAAGGGTTCTTCTTAAAGGCACTTGGTCTGTCTAGTTCAGGGCTTAAGCATTTAGAAAAAATATTGCAAAGGCTTTAGCACTTGCAAGAGTTTTGCTTAGGGTTTAGCACTTGTAAGAGCCTAGCGCTTGCAAGAGACTTGATCAAGTTTTACCAATTGCAAACTCCTGCAGCAAAGGCTTTTGCACGTGTAAGAGCTTTGCTCAGGCTTTAGCACTTGTAAAGGAGTCTAGCACTTGCAAGAGACTCGATCCAGCTTTAGACTTGACCGAGAGACCTGACCAAGTTTTAGCATGTGCGAGAGGCTTGACCAAGCAGCTTGACAGAGTCTAGCACTTGCGAAGACTTGACCAAGTTTTTAGCATTTGCGACAGACTTGCCTTGTGCACGCTTTGCTTAAAACTTTCGGGCCTGCAGGGGGTCTAGCTTGATCATTGTGTCTTCTCTTCTTCCTTCTTCTGCTGAAAGTTTATTTGTTTTGCTTTCGGCCATTGATCGTGCCACCATGATCTCCCAGGGTGTGTCTCCTTCAGCACAGCAGTGCACACCTCCGTCGGATCATCAAGGTCATCCGCAAAGGGTAAGTAGCCTGAGATGCAAGGATGAATCCCTTGTGTGACCAGCACCCGGAAAATAATCCATTGCGAATGGGTTGAGGGCCATCGCTAGTAGCCGCTAGTAGGTTGGAGGCCATTGCTATTAGGTTGGAAGCCATCGCAATTAGGTTGGAGGCTATCGCTAGTAGGTTAGGTTGGAGGCCCTTGCTATTTATTAGGTTGGACCGGAGGCCATTATTAGGTTGGAGGCCATCCCTAGTAGGTTGGAGGCCATCCCTATTAGGTTGGAGGCCCTTGCTATTGAAGGTTGGAGGCCATCGCAATTAGGTTGGAGGCCATCGCTAGTAGGTTGGAGGCCATCGCTAGCAGGTTGGAGGCCATTGCTATTAGGTTGGAGGCCCTTGCT